CACTCACACCAAGAAAACGCGTGATTCGAATCGAGGATCGGTTGGTAGAAGAGAACCATGGTGAAGACCTCGAAGATTGGATATATGGAGAGAGAATAGTGTTCACCCGCCAAACCTTCTTCTGCTGTGATCACCGACAGAGTGCTCCAGATTCGCAAGACAGGCGTTTGACATGGGAAGAGGAACAAGCCAACAGGTGGAAAATGCGTAAGGAGATGTTTCCTGATCTTCGGGACGACGCTATTATTCTCGGGAATTTCAACCAGCTTTATAAGGTATGATACCATACTCTTCAATCATTTTCCTTTTAACTCAACCATAATTAAAATACTTACGCGCTTTTTTAATCTACTCTAGATCGAGCCAACTACTTTTCGTACGTGGCTTCGTATTCTCTCCCGCATCCCGAACGCAATTCTGTGGCTTCTCCGTTTTCCAGACCTTGGTGAGCATAACCTCAAACAGACGGCTATTGCGTGGGCTGGAGAGGCCATTGCCTCCCGTATTGTTTTCACCGACGTCGCTCCTAAACATGCTCATATTTCCCGTGCTCGCATTTGTGATCTATTCCTTGATACCCCTGAATGCAATGCCCATACCACCGCCGCTGACGTCCTCTGGAGCGGGACCCCACTCCTTACCCTACCTCGATATAAATATAAAATGTGTTCTCGCATGGCTTCTAGTATACTTACCAGCGCCCTCCCACAAACAGAAGCCGGCCGACAGGCCGCTTGCGAATTAATCGCCTCTTCAGAGGAGGAGTATGAAAGCCGTGCTGTAAGTCTCGGGCTAGGTTTGAGATATGAACTAGGTGGCCAAGGCCGTGCCCGGGGAAGACTGATCGAGTTGAGGAAAATGCTTTTCTTAAACAGATGGGAAAGCAAACTTTTTGACACCAAACGATGGGTGAGCGATTTAGAAGATGCCTATGACGCGGTCTGGAGGAAGTGGGTTAGAGGGGAGGAGGGTGACGTGTGGCTTTAAAAGCTTAGCACTTGAGTCCTTCTCAACCCTTTTCGCCTTCGATAAATACCCTTTCTACATGATACATTTCTACACTTACATGGCTTTGTCATTCATCTCCGAAAGACCCTTCTGTTCTATATGTTTAGCCCATATGTCCTTGTCTTGCATTGTTAAATGTCTGTTTTTACATAGCCTTATCCTATGTCTCCGAAATATGGCAGCCTCGCCTTTTTGTGAAGATTTATTTTTCGAGTCTTCCGAAGGAAGCGTGTGTTGTATTCGATGGCGTTATTATTTGACAAGTATTTATGCCGTTTGGAGTAAACCAGGTATAAACTCTGATTATCAAGGGACTCTGTGGAATCCAGTCAGTGACAAGAGAAGAAGAAAAGAACTGGGTATGAATTGGAAATTGGATGGTTGCTTGGCTCTTCGTTTTTGGTTCGGCACTTTCGAATCAACCGTTAACATTTCCTTCTCTCATTTACCATGAGAAGCAACTTCTTTCTCGTTCTCTTATTTGCCGTACTTCCTTTTTGAACTTTTTCTCTCCATTTTTGCTTTTTGGGTGTTACGCATAGTTTTCTCTCCCGTTATGAACCTGTTTTGGGATAGAGATTTAGAGATTCATTTTTCTAGGGGGATTGTTTTGCCTCATGTTCTGCCTGTATCAGCTTTGCTCGACTCCCTATGTATATCCAGTACCTCATTATGGCGGGTTGTAAAACCAAGCTTCCCTATTCCCCGATTCCCAACTCTTTGTTATTTTACTTGTTTTATTCCCCCACACCTCTATATATGTAGCCCTTGCCCCACCAAGCAAAATGCTTCTATATATATTATGGCTGTTTTACCTATCAGTCAGTCTCCTTCTGGGAGAGTTGTTACCTTGGACAAAATCACAGCCGCCCTCTTGTCAGATCGTAATTATGATACGATACGAACTGAACTTGGCAAATATGATATATCAAGTCAGCTGTTGACATATTGATCACAAGTGACAAATGACGAGTGATGATTTATGTCTATCTCTTTGGAAACAGGCGCCAACGAATACTCGCTTATTCGTTCTGCCAACTTAAATTGTCTTCCTCTCTTTTCTCGACCCCTTTTTGTTGAACAGGCACTGTTTCGAGGTTCTGTGACAGGAGTTTGTGTGCAAAATTTGGTTACATCTTCATTTGGTTTCTTTTCTTTTCTCCTGCAAGTAATCGAGCTTGTGGCCCTCATGTTTCCTTTTAAGATGAAAGCCATTCTATATATGAATGGCTTATTCAGCTAATCTGTTTATGATTTCATTCGCATGGAATTTATTTCAGACTTACATTTCTTTTTCAATCACACACACACACACACACTCTCTCTCTCTCTCTTTCGAGACCTCTTTTTTTTCTTTCTTTCTTTCTCTCTTTGTTTGAAGAGAGTAATTATTCTGAAATTCCTGTCATGTATCTGTGTCTCCTCAGAAGTTGATTTTTCATTTATAATTGTTCTTATAAGTTAAGTATACATTTCTGCTCTGCTTTTCTCGAGTAGAGTGCCTCAATCTTACATGTATGCCTAAATAGGAGTATAGAATATGCATGCATGAATATATGGATACATTTGCTCTGCAGATCTATTTACTCAGGCCACAACAAGCTTTGAAATGAGAGAACAGTGAGATAAGACAATGTATTCTCATCTGTGACAAATATATTCACCCTTAAAGATTTTGCTACCAATGAGATATGGTTTAAAACAGTTCTTAGATGCACGGCAGGCACCATATCCTTAGAACAGCAGTATACATCAAAGAACTCAAGAACAAACCAGCAAACGTCCTCAGATTTTGAAAGTGCTTGCTGTCGAATGACAGTAGCATTGTTAAGCTCCACAATAAGGAGATAGAGAGTGTCACCCTGGCTAAAAACAAACCCAGAATTGTATTCTAAAATCCCAAAACCTCGAATGCGAAATTGCCATTTTGCAATATGCACAACTAGCTATCCCACATATCTGTTGGTTTTCGTCCATATCACAAATTCTCTTGTGAAGTAGGCCCATGGGGAATAGAGGACTGGACAGCAAGCAACACTTGACATGCTTGCTGCCTCAAACTACGGGACTGGAGACAGCAGGACGACTATTCGCAAAGCATTGACATCAGATAGTAATAATGCAGCTAGAAAATTGGGGCATTGCCGGTCAAGCCATTGACAAATCTGAGAGACCATTACTATCGGGCAGCCCAGCTTTTCGCTTCTTGCCCACACTGAGGAACGATCGTCTCAGGAGAGGCCTGCTCCAGAGAATCAGAAAGAAGAGAAACGAGAAACCCCCCCCCCCTTTTTTTTAAAGGTCTCATTGCACGTAGAACAGTGCTTGTTGATGATCAACCAGAGTTCATCGCAAGCAGAGAAAAGGCTGGTTGGACTGTTCCAGGTGGTTATCTCTCCAGCAAAAACGGGATCCCGGAGAGAAACCATTGATTGAGAGTTGGCGTTTGAGGGGCTGAGAGTGAACGCCTGTAGATCATGTAACAATAACCAGATGTCACCAGCTGTCTCGGGCTGGGTCGGTCAAACGGTGATGTTCATGGTGACCTCAGTGGGCATCGAACGACAAAAAGAGGGAGAGATCTCGTTGGATTGGTGGGTGGTGAAAGGCCCATTCCATTGATTGCATGTCCACGTACGAATATCCTCGCCCAATTATTTGGGACCAGAATCAAGCGCTCTCGATCGCTCACCAGGCGTCCTCTTGTCTGTTGTACGAGAGCTGACCCACAGGGATCGAATGTTTTTGACTAGGAAGATCTGTGGCTACTTGTTGCGTCCAGGATTTTAAACATGGTTAGATCGGGGCCAACCTCAGATTTCAGCTTGATAGTCCAGCGCTTTTCCTGGTTTATCAACTCCGGTCCAACCTGGTATCCAGTTTTGTGGGTTTATTGTTTTGCGCCTTTGGCCGGTTTATCCGGCTGGGGGATATTAAGGCATTCCATTCTATCATGCAGGCTACCGAGGTAGGGAGGGTTAACGAACCTCTGACATGAACAATAATGATTCTCGGTATCTCCACCGCTGTAACGTTGTCTGTATTTCTTTTTCTTGATGGTCCATGTGCATCGCCCGCCCTTCCCATACATGTGGCATCGTTGGAGTCGCTAAAAACAGAATTAACTGGTATTTTTAAACCAAGCCACAGCTGTTTAGTGAGTGGACAGTGAGGAGTTGAATAGCGATTTCACTAACGAGTTCATAGTTCAGCATTGTTATGAAAGTACTAACAGTTAACAACATATCTTTGCTTCCAGCCCGGATATCTTAATTGCTCCAAAAAAAGAGACGAACACGATCAGGACAGCAGAACAGGGTCATTCACGATGTGAGTTGGCGCATCCTGCGTCAACCCCTTCAGTGGCCCTGTATGAGAGAGATGGCCAAAATTTGGGCTGCATGAGAGTTTAACAAGGGTTCCTGAGCTTAAAAAAAAAAAAAAGGTTCTACACGTTGTTTGGATGCCACAAGTGTCCAAGCTTCTTGAATCCATCCGCCACGTTCTATCGAGTCTAGATGTGGATTCAGCTGGCGGAGCACTCGCTTGTTCGGAGGCCGTTTTCTTAGTTATGCCCACATATTATCCTGGCCATGTGGGGCGATGGATCGAGAAACGATGTTAGACGACAGTGAGCTAAACGTTTCTCGCCTAAAAACACGTTTTCAAGCACGCCAGGCCACCCCTTTGTGAGTTCTCGAGTCTCGACCAGTGGGGTTTTTACCTATCCTGGGGTTTTCCCAAGGCCAAAAAGGAAAACGGCTAAACGTCAAATGGAAGGAGGAAATAATCGTCTCTCTGTCCATTTTCCCCCGCGTTGATGCGGGTGTGATTACTCACATAATACACCAACCATGGAGGTTCTCGGGGTCATGCCAAAGGCCGGACTTCCGTCTTACTTGCTCTTTTCATCATACGGCCCTGGCGGGGAGGGAGAGTGTTTACGATTAATGGTATAATGGCGATATCTCTCCATCTCTCCACCGATCAAAATGGATTCCAATTACCAGACTCTGGGGGCTTTTGCGAGCCGTTGGTGGATTACTGTGGAGCAGACTCGGGCTAAAGAAGCGAGGAAGCGAGATTCAAGATTCGTTTTATTCTTGAAAGCAAGACAAGAAATGTTTTGCTGGGGATTCTGGCAACATTTCCTGCAGTTAACCTCAGCGAGCAAACTGTTGGAGGTGAAGCGATCGAAGACATTCCAACCTTCACCCCTGGAGCCTGGAGAGTAAATCCAGCCTCCAGGTCATTATGCTCTCCTCGTATTATGCTTGGCTGGGAGCTTGGGATTCACTGGCTACCAAACAAGCGAACAATCACATGGACTGTCTATACATGTTCAGCCGATATGTACCAAGCGCCGGGCTGGGTTGGCATCATATCCTACGAAAGGATTCAGCTCCCTTTTGACGGATTCTTATGAATATGTTTCAGTCTAGTGGACCAAAGCTCGGTTTTGTTATGTTTGATATTGAAAAATTCGAAAGGCTTCTTCTGTTGCTCTCCGATTACCCCTTATTTCTTCTCCGCTCAACCAGGCAAGCCGCACTAACCAACAGAAAATAGACCGATGTCACCGCGACCTGCGTGGGTTGGCATATGCATTGGTAAAATGCTAGCTCTTGGATAAAAATGTACAGCTATCTACGTGTTGTATGCATGTACATTACATCGCTACATAAAGGGCAAGTGTGGAGAATGCCAATGCATTAAATCATTGTTGTTTGCAGACTGTATTATTATCTATTTTATTCATCACCTCTCGAGTTGTTTCCCCCATTATACTAATACGCTAGCAGATGGTAGCAATAATATGCGTCTCCTCACGAGTTATTTTCCCCACCAACTAACTGTGTTTCTCTTCTGGAATATTAGAAGAAGACTGATGTTGGTGGAAGTGCAGGCTGGTATTCAGATACTGGCCTAATCGCCTCATTGGAATGATCTTCAGGAAGCTATTGCCATGGGCGACATTACACCTTTTTGTGTGAATCCATACTTCATGAATCGGACCGCATATATGGAAGCAATACTTGGAAGGATGGATGGACTTGCCCGAAACTTTTGGGGTTAGTCGTTTGGGGAACGGATATTCCTCAACGTCGGCTGCCCTCCTCCTACCCGTTGCTTGGTTTTCAATCCAATTGAAATGAACTAGGAAGTGCATTTGTCGGGTAGGGTAAATATGCTTAGACAATGGATGGAACCTTGGAAGACGGCGTGTGGCAGGGGGCAATGAAGCTGTGGTGGAGGTAATCCTGCGAATTCATGCTAAGGGGTTCAAGTCAGGATATGGTGGTCACATCTCTACAAAGCACATAGCAACAATGTGGAGATGTGAAGGATTGAATGTAGCTGAGCTGAAACAAGCTATCAAAAACAGTTAGGGATCCTATTTGGAGGTATGTGTTTGTTTGGTTCTTGATAGTTTTTATTATTTATTTTATTTTTATTTTGAGATTTAACACCATGCAATCTAATATTTGTCCATGCTTTTGTCTGGATCTGTGCCGTTCATACTGTACTCCGTATGGCAGACATGTAACTACATACATACATTACAACGCTGAACGGTCTATATGCCCATGCCCGTGAAATGCTTGTTCGTGTTCATCGATGAACCAGTAACAACCTGTGGGTTCCACATCCTCGTCAAAAATGTTGGCGGCTTCGAAAGGATTGCAAAACTTACAACATGTGCCAGCTAGATAGCTAGATCCGATGGTAAGATCAAGGGTCGATCAGAATAAGGAGAAATTCTTGTATATATCCAGGGCTGGTGATAGCAACTTAACTCCGTACAAGGATGAGGGGGCCCTTCTGTTTCTGCTGCCTCGTATCAAGGAGCAGCAGTACAACGGTCTACTTGATTTTCAAACAACTGGAACTTCAGGGAAAACCGTCATGCATGTCAACAGTCCCGCTGCGGCTTTTCTTGAGATGGGAACCGGTGGCGCATCGTGGGGATGATGGGATGGAGAGGCTGCAACCACTCGCACGCGTTGCAGCGAGAAGATGCTGCCTGAATTTTGAGAAATTCCTATCTGACCATTGACGACTGCATTTTTGTGCATGTCAAAACAAGCTCGAAATGCAACGGAACATTATTTCCGTGCACAAAATCGGTGCGATAAAAGCTAAATGTATTTTAATTTCATGGAGTCCTTTCTAATTCACCGAAGACCAAGCCACCAGCGCAAAGTGTGGAGTCATATTTTTTTTTTTTTCTTTTTTGGCAACAAACGGTTGCTCCAAGCTTCCAAGGCCCATAGATTCAACCGAGACGTTATTGGCTGTTTTGAGAATGGACCTTGCAGCATCAATGAACTCCCATTAGCTTTTTCTGCCTGGCGTTTATGGATGTTATCCTCTTTCGTTGAAGAAGCCGTCGCAAGGTTGAAGATGGCTGTGGCTTCTTGGAATGATGATGATGCTGCGAATTAGACCTTGTAATATTATTCATTTATATATTGATGTTTGATATTTTGCCGTGGGTAATCCGAAATCATGGTGGACTGCGAGCCAACTTCGGCTATTGAAGAGAATAAAGAGCCACAGCAAAAGGAACTGGTTGATTGAACTTGGGGGTTTCCTCCATTCAAACAGACCCGGAATCCTTAGTATATATGCCAGTACGTTCACCTCGATGTGGAAGTCGTCAAATGTGGCGTTCTGTTTTGCTTCTTCCTCGTATTACTCCTGAACAGCCACAGCGGTTCCCCAAGTTTTCGCAAATCATTGGCAAATTGGTAATAACCTTGGGATATCCAGTTAGTTGACTAGTTAACTAACTGGTTATTGAGTATTAATAATACTTCCAACATATTGTGTGTCCGTGGATATCTTCAGCCACCAGCCACCAGTTGACCGCTCGGCCAGCGGCAAACCAAGAGGATATTTGTTATTGGAGAACGACACTCAAATTTTGAGAAAGGCGCCTGGCGCGTATCCAATAGTCGCGATGGCGGATCCAAACCTGGGCCAATGGGGTGAAAGATGCCGACGCCATGGGATATATCTGACTGATGTTGTTGGTTGCTACGTATGGTACACTGGTCCAGAGCAAACCCTCAGTCAGTCCCTGACTCCGGTACTACTACTCTGGCACTACTGTTAGTTTGCTCGTCACAGTCACACGGTGTCATTGATAAATCTTCATCAACATCTTGATAGAGTCTTCGTCGAACCGTCAGCCACATTCGACGGCGTTCTCCGATGACGGTGGCCATGATTTTCCACCAGCAGGGGACAATCTTCCTGACTGTCTTACTAGCTTATTAGTTCCCCAGCTTGGACTGTCATAAGTCAACGCTGATTTGGCGAGTTTCTTTCGATGCACGGACTATGCCGCTACTGCGTATCAGATTTTTTAAAGTGCAACGGTGCAGCAGTCTTGTGCTCCACCATCTCCGCGCCACGTCTGTAGTAGCTTCTCAACCGTAACCGTGCTGCGTGAGTGAGCTGTTCGGATTAACTCGGCTGACACAAGGAGTCCTCAAGACAGTGTAATATTTTAATTTTTTTTTTTCTCCGTCTGTAAAATGCCGTTGTCACCATGTCCTGGTTTGCGTCCAGGTCCACAGCAGCATTGAGGGTAATTATCAGATTGATGCTATTTTGCTCCCGCGTCTGAACCCACCATTTTCCTAAAAAGGAATATAGATCATCCAAATATCCGATACGCCATGGGCCCCTCCGTAATAGATAATCTCGAGATGACGAGTGACAAAAAGCACCAAGGCGAAGTTGGCTTCTTTCTGGGTATTCGCTGACAAGAAAACCCCCAAAAGCCGATATGGATTGAATGGAGGAAAGTTGAAAGCATTTGAGAGAAGGAAAAGAAAGGCCTTTTACTCAAATTAGCAGCGACAGATGGCACCTGCCATGAGATATTTTCGCGAAGGAATCGTCTATTTTTATATTCTGACTTCGTAGAGCACGCACGCATGCATGCATGTATGTATGTATGTATGTATGTATGTGTGAATGTGTGTGTGTATGTACATGCGCTTTCTCGTAGACATCCGTATGCCATAAATTCAACGATCTGAACTTCTCGTCTACATTTATGTAGCGTCCAATACCTCTTAAGAAAGACCCTGAAACCGCCTAATCATGGGGTTGGTCCTTGCAGGGTTTGATGTCCGTGTGTGGTTAAAAAGGCACAATGCCAAGTGGCAGCGTTGGTTGAAATCCAGGCTGTCAGGCTTGCAGTAATCGTCATATCTTCCAGTTTGGACAGGCTGGAAGACATGGACATAAACTCCATGGCGGCCTCAGACACTTGCAGGGTCTTGAACGTGGCAGGTGATTAAGCAGTGACCTGTCGTGATGATTCCGTCCTCAGTTTGAGAACGTGCCGGCAGGTTACTTGCAAGATTGAACACAATGTCATTTGCTGCTGAACACATACAAGCGCTAACCACTCATCAAGGTGGAGTTAAGAGGGAAATACTCCATTTTAATTGCAGCATGGTCGACACACCAATAAGCGCTACCACTCCCTCATCCATAATCCATGGCAGCGGGAGTGATAGTCTACCCGAAGAATTCCGCATGGAGTCTGGACGTAGTGTGATCGAGAAGAGCGTGAGGCCGAATCCAACAAACCTTGCGGCATGCAGTGTTTCAAGACATGCACCAACTGCAGCATTTGGAAAGGAAAGAAAAGAAGAAAAAAAAAAAAAAAGAAGGAAAATATATGCGATGTGGACACTTCAAACTGAAATCAACATCAAAAAAGTCAGCGTGTTTCAAACAAGGTATGATGATAACATCTAAAAACACACAGCACAACAGCCGTGATGGGTTCAACTTAGCCCCTCCGTGAATGACTGATATGACATGTATGTATATATGTACATTCATACAAATCCATGAGCCACTGTTAACGTGGAAGAATGCAGGTCTGGATTACAAGTTGTCTCCCAGGGCCATTGGCATCTGGACATTGAGAAGCTGATCTGGGCGTGGGCGATGACTTCTATTTTTACCTTTGGGAGGGTGAATGGTTTGAAATGCGCAATTCATTGACTTGCGTAATTACATGGCAAGCGAAGAACACCAAGGGAAAAACTTCATCCTGTGCTTATCTCCTTGTTGAAAGAGCTCCGTGAAGGGTCGCCATGGGTGAACTCATCTTCCCCTCCCCTCTCCGCTGACGCGACGATGGTCGTGACTATCCCTTGCGTATGCATTCCGTATAGACTCTGCATACATTCGGAGTAATGATGAGCAGGACATATGTAGTTACTGCTGTACCAACATATAATAACTATAAGCCTGGATTTGTACTGTACTTAAAAGCCTTAAAATCTTATTTCTCCATGCTGACATCCATAGTGATGACTTTTCTAAACCCCTGCCAGTCAAAATATCTATGACGATTACATATGCCCGATTGCCACAATGATGGTCCGCATGGCAACCGAGAACTTGCACCGAGGGAGTTCGAATTTTTCGATGCTCACGATCGGACTTGTATTATTCCATTCCAGATGCCGGCTCAAGCAGCGATGATTATTGCTGATCCAACCCTTTTTTTCGCCCTAATTGCCGCCAAGATTTATGGCTGGCGGAACCGTTTGAAAATCCCATGAAACTACGAGCTGCAAGCAAAGAATGGTACCGAGTAGTAATTTTTAGAATAATAATCTCACGCCTCCCCCTCTCTCCACTTTTTTCTTCTTCTTCTCCTTCTTTTTCTTCTCTTGGGAGATAAGCGTCGTGGGGAGGAGACTATCTAGCCCACTCTACGCGAAATCACAGAAGGGAGTTTTCCGCGTCTTAGGGTATCTAAGTAATATTTTCCGAAGTTTGGGTAGACCCGCCATCAATCTGAAGAAGGTCCAGAACTAACCCACCAAATTCTTCCTAGGCAGGGAACGGAGGCTTCTTACTATTGGCAGTTATCCCGTTGCTGAGTGAGCATTCCCAGGAACCTATCCTGGTCAATATGCCAGAGAATTGAAACACCGCTCATGTCGGTCGCGGTTGTGGTGGTGATGATGATGATGATGATGATGATGATAATGAAGGGGTAACAACCTCGCCGAACAAGGCAAACCGGTCAGCATTCAGGCATCTGTTGTGGATGAACGGTGGTCGGCAAGGAGAACTGGGGTCAATGTTAATTGGCCATTTACACCTGGATCGTGGTGGGTGCCAGGATGGGTCTCCACATCTCGTATATCTCGGGATCATCATCCATGATTGGGCCGTGTTCTCAACCTCCGATCGTGAAGCTGGCTAGGGCCCTCAGGGGAGCTGATTCGCTGGCTCAAACCCCAGCATTCAATTTTTGTTTCTTGAACGAAACGTGTTGCGCTTGAATGTGTTTTAAAATATTAAATTAGCGAGAGCGAGCCTGAGAGAAGGGAAAGGGTTCTAAAACTACCCATTATTATTTTTTTTTTTTTGCTTGATGGCGCAATCCTTACTTAAACTTTTCCCTCCCTTGGACGCTCATCCAAAAGGGCCATCCATGTTCATCAGAATCATGATATTGACCTCGTCTGACGGAGTGTGATTCTTGGAGATAAACGGTTTCCGCTTTTCAATGGTAGAACTAAACTGTTGTTTTATCATTTCGACCCGTCTTCGGTGCATTAGCCGAACTATGTTTTCTACCCGTAGTTAACTATTCTTGAATGATGGAATTCTGATCAAGTTTTGCTATTTTGGAGGTTTCTTTTTTCTGCTTCTGCCGCCAGCCGTGGATCGTCCTGCTATCTTGAAGAATGGGTCGCCATAGCCCCCCTGCAGCGGGGAAGTCCTGAGACCCAAGTGGCAGTGGAGTATGATTTGAGAGTAATTAATATTAGTAAATTTTTGGATAACTAATGATTCAGCCATTGATTGTTGTGGTGGAGCAAGTTGGGATTGGCAGGATTAATAATGGACCCTCTTTACCGCTGAAGAAGTAGAAATAAGTTTGAGGTGGTTGGATTGACCAACTTTCCAAGATTTTTTCCCTCTTTTCTTAATTTTACCTTTTCATCCTCGACACATACTTCTTCGAAATCTCAGCATCATTTATTATCTACCGTCGAACCTTCAAAACCTAACAGACCATCGTTGACGTAGTCGACGTAGAAAGAGGAGTTGTTCCGTTAGCAGCGGTGCTGGTAAATCCTGGATCTTGTTGACAGTGGACACCAGCCATTAATTAACTCCTTTGATAACAAACCCAGCAACGGCAACCTTTCCCAGCGACGAAACAGGGTAGTTAGAGAGACTGGATAGAAGTGTGGCTTTTTCTTTTTTTTCTTTTTTTCTTATTTTTTTGTGTCTTTTGCGAACAAATACAGCAAATAGTCCGGTTCCGAGAGTTTGACGGTGATGCAAGGACACTATAAACAACCCCCCCCGCAAGCCCCCCGCCCCCCAGTCCATCGCCGTCACACCCCCAGCGAGCTTCCCGAGAGCTCCCTCCAGGGCTTGCGTGCATGGTAAGCCGGTCACAGAGACCCACGCTATCTTCAAACATGGATATTCGCTATTACTCGTGTGACGTGACGGGGAGAGAAGTGGGGTTAGGTAAGGGGGGGGGGGAATTGGGTTCCCAAACGAAGCAAGCAAACTGCCCCGTGTCTGAATTGAACCTGAGTCCTGATTTATATTGCTGTGGCACTGGCTCTGGCACTGGCATCCATTCCAAGGGTTGGTTGGGTTGGTGGTAGTGGTGGTGGACTGAATCGCTCCCTAATGTGTCCAAGCTCCCCTTAGGGCGAGGGCGAGATTGGTCAGAACAGCGGTTCTCCAGCTCCGGCGGTAAAGTCCACTGGAAGCCCAGATTACCATCATCCCGAAGCACAAGAGGGAAGGGTAACCAAGGAAGGGGGAAATAAAAAGAAACGAGCATCCCCTCCCGTTGGCGGCGGCGTCCTGTCATTGGGGGAAAACGGGTTTTCGAACCTTGGAGTTGGCAGCAACTTACCAGACCTTCGACTCCCGCGAGTGGAGGCCAATAAAGTTGCTTTTTCTTAGATTATGATTATTGATTATTGATTATGATTATTATGATTATTATGATTATTATTATTGTTTCCTCCCTTTATTGCTTCCTTTGGTTGGCTCGGCGCCAGAAATGTCCTGGCCCACGGCCCTAGCCGTTAGGCGGCCACTCGCATTTGGCCCGCCTCAACCGTATTTTCGTGCGCAAACACATTCCTTTTTGCTGCTAGCCTGGCCCAAACCCTTGTTGCGAATCATCACATCCCTGTTTTACGACGGCACAACAGCAGGTCCCCACGATCTGGTAAGGTGTCCGTGTGTGTGTGTGTGTGTGTGTGTGTGCCACCAGAGTGACAGCGAGCAGCGCATGCTCTATCCGTACGGTAACTTATGCGCGAGCTAACTGAACGGGTTCGTCGCTCAATGCTCAGCCAACTGCCAAACTGCCTGGTTGTTTTATTTTTATTATTATTATCATTTGCTGAATCGTTTACTTGCTTCTTGTGATTCTTGCGATGTTTGCGATCCAACCCTCCCAACTAGTCAACTATGTTAACTAACTCCGTACTTAAATCTTCTATCTTTGTAATCCTCCGCTCAGCTGGGTACCTTTTTTTGTGCTCTGGTTTTGCCCCTTCCTTGGCTCCAACTGGGCTTGAATCCCCAAAGCGGGCATCGGGCTGTGGGCAGCGGACTTGGATGTAGGTACCAGGCATATGATTGTGTTTCTGCATGTATGCCATCATCACCACCCGCCGCGCGCCTCCCCCCCCCACACCCCCCGAGGATGGGCATTCCGTTTGCCATCATCCCCGCATCCATGTCCATGCCCATGTACATCCAGTACATATTTGTAAGGCTTTTGCTCGGCTGTTAACCTGTCCCAC